TTTTTTTTAAATGCCAACTTTAGACGGCCATGAATTGGGTTTGTCTAACAATATGAGGCATATTTTTTCCAAAGATTATAGTGAATAATTTTCTAAATCTTTGTAGAAGGGGGCCTCTTTTCTCGCTTTACTGCAAAATTAAATATAGTTCATTGTCAACTGCTCTGCGTTTGAGAAATAGATTATAATTAATAACATTAAATTTTAAAAAAGCCGATGGTATACCGTCAAACGGTGATTCCGGCATGTCTGTTCCCCGTGTGTCCTAATTTTTCTATTTTTAAGTTTGTTCTTCCTCCTGAATTCTGAACTCTCCATTTTATTTCTTTCTCAAAATTTCTTGAGGTCTACTGTAGTTTCTTTTACAAACCTCCTTTTTAAATTTGTTATTTTTTTATTTAAAGAAAACAGATATAAAAAAGAGAAATACATTGATCATCCTTTCTCTACAGGCGTGAGCAACCCATGGTTGTATACATCCTTTTGTTCAATAATTTGTTCTTTCGTTTCATTTTTGCATTTTCCACTCGTAAAACCTAATCAAATGTTTTTTCTGTCTGTTTCAGGTGAGTTTCCAAATTACTTTGTAAATACGGCTCAAACTATCTGCTCAGTAAGATATATTTCAAGTAACTTTATCTCCTTCACGTATTTGCACTTTATGCAAATTGTTTTATTGTTCTCGCCAAGGTGGTTATTTTGGCAAAAATATCGAATCGTATACATTAAAGACTATAATCAAACTATATAAAGAAAAAACTCATAAAATTTCGGAACTTGACTCCTCAAAAACCTTTAAAATGCTCGCTTTAGGAAACGCTCTTCCGGGCATTTTTCAAGGAAAATTTACTTGTAAAATTTCAGGAAAATGTGAGTAAAAAATATTAAAAGCTCTTAAAATATTTCCTGCATCACTAAACAAAAATGCTGGAAAACTCATAAAAAAGTAGTCATCCTTTTAGAAGTAAATTTCAAGAAGAGTAAAATTGTATTCTTAAATAAATAGCCAAAATGGTTTCCCTAAAACGAAGTACTGAACAGTTTAAACATTTCTGAGAAATTTTTTGAGAAATTTTTTCTAAATGTGATTGCTACTTAGGTACTAAGCAAAGCGTAACGTATTTTTAAGAGGGTGCGGAGATCAAATGGATTGCATTTTGCAAAAAGGAACCACTAGCATTGGCAATGATGCTAAGATTGTGCAACTTCATCTTTTGCAATAAAATTGCGGAAATCGTGAAAAACTATGAAATTTAGATGGTAATTTTTGTCTTAAATTTACAGTTTTTAGCGAGTAAAATAGAAACTATTAATGGATAATCGGGTTTTTCCTCAGAGACAAAAGAAATTGCACAATCTTATCAACATTGCAATGCTACTGGTTCCTTTTTGCAAAATGCAATCCAAATCTGCGTGCGACGCGGTTGCGTGGCGCTAAGCTGCTGAGAGGATTTACAATTTCGAATCTCAACGTGACGCAATTTGCGAACGACCACTGGGGACCGTTCCTTCCTATAGTTAAATTATTGAGGTTTAAAAGTTTTTTCAATCGCCGTCCGACTCATAACGACGCAATTACCGCGTACGCAGACAAAATCCCTAATTCGAAAAGCGTTTAACAATACGGAAAAAGCATCACCTGCTATCCGGCGAGAATGATAATAGCGTCAAGTTGCAGTGAATGACGTCATGACGTCATCTTCCTCCGAGAGCGGGGCAGGGCGTCGGGGCGCACGTTCGCGGAGAAAGATTAATTTTTTCCGTTGTAAAATTGGCGCGGGCGATAATTGACTGGAAATATAACCTCTCGACGGAACCCGGGTTCCTTTAATGCATTTTTTCTGTCTCTCTCGACGAGTTCCCGTTCATGGCGCTCTATTCACAGCCGCGAACCAATTAACTCCGTTTAAGGGGTCCCACGCCGACGGAACAACAAGTTCCGGGAACGCGGAGGAACTGAGAATTTACTTCGGGGTCTTTTTTTTCTTATTTCTATTGAGGTTTATCACTTGGAATTTGGACACTAAAATTTTGGAACTAACCTGAAATTTCGACTGGCCTCCGGCAAGGAAGAGCGAGGCGGGTTGTCATGGATGGTGTCGGGAAAAATTTGCGGCGCTACCAACCTTTGAATCGTAGTTTTCGCCCGTTATGTATACTGATAAAACAGGGTGCTTGGCTCAAGCATGATGATTCTTGAATTTGCCGCTAATAATTTTTTTTTTCATCTTGATTCGAGCGGAATTTTTCTCGATACAAGAAAAATAATGCTTGGGTTAAGCAAAAAAGTAGTTTAAATTAAGCAGCAAACTTTTTGATTTAAGATAAATTACTTTTTGGCGGCGAATTTTAGATTCTTTTTTTCTCAGTGTAAGATATGTTCTACCATGACGAGGACCCAGTGCTGCCGTTTCCTGGGATTGAATCTGAATTGCGGAAGTTTTCAAATCATCGGAACTTTCCCCGGAATCTTCGAAATTTCCGGAATTTTCAACTATTTTCAGTTTTTTTGGAGAGTTCGTGGTTTTCCGTCCGTTTGACCGATTATTTGATTAAACTTGCTGATTTGTTTCTATCAAGTTAGGAAAGCTTCGGAACTGAATGCGGGCGTATATGGCATTTTCCCGGAACTTCTGAAAAATCGAACTTTTTCTCGGAACTTCAGGAAATTGGAATTAATTCCGGGGTTCCCGGAATGTTTAGTGTAATAAAATGGCAGCATTGCTTTCTGAGCCGACTCAGTAATGATTGTCAAAAATAATATTTATCCGCACACACACTCCTAATACCGCGGTGCTGAAGAAAAACGCCCTATGAACATTTGAACGTTGCCAGATTTCCTCTCAGAAAATATGTATTTATTTTTTTTAGAAACTTACACATTTTTTTTCCTTGAAATTTTATGACACTCAAGATTAAATGCGAATAAAATGCTCTGAAAATTCAGAGGAGAAATATTTACATATTTTTCGAAAATTTGTTCCTTATTAAAGGCAA